TATGATGGATCCTGTCCCAAAACCCCAGGGCAGCTCCTCTGTCCACCTGACTCCTCTGGGGACCTGAATGTGTCTCTAGAGGCACTCGAGTCCCAGCAGGATGAAAGAGTGACAGACCCTCAAGCAGCCCTTTCAGGTAACCCCCACACCCACCTGCAGCAGAGGTAGCTGTGTTATGGTAACCCTTGGGAGACTGAGTGGTCCCCTTCTGTGTGGGGGTGGGGCGGGGGCAGAGTAGTAATACAGGAGTAATAATATTAATAATGCTCATCGTCGCCAAGACTGTGAAGTGCCTCATGGGTACTAGGCCCATTCAATACCGGAAGGCAGAGATTCTCCTCTTGGTGTTATCAGTGACAAGAGAAGCTCAGAGAGGTCAGGTAACTTGTCCGAGGGCCTGTAGCTAGGGTGAGTGTCTGGGGGCTTCAGAGAGGTGGGCTGGAAGCCACCCCAGGCCCTCAGGCTCCTGAGCCTGTATCTGTGTTCCCACACCACCCTGCAGAAAAGGCGTGTGGGAGGAGCAGACGCTGCCGAGTCGTTGTGGGCCATTCTGGGCTGCACCGATCCTTGGTCTCCCGGGAAGTCAGGAGAGGACGGCACAGCAGCTGGACGCCCGGTGCTATGGGAGACGGTGCGTCACCAGGGAACAGGCCGGGTGACAGTGAGATCTGCTGTCTGGGTACCCAAAGGCCAGGGTTCTCGATAGGAGGTAGCTGCAACTTGCTGTGTGATTTGGGCCAGTGATAGACCTCGGCAGGTATTCGGGTGCTTTTAATGTCTTCTGTCACCCCTTTTACTCGAGGACTTTGGGATGGGGGGTGGTGGCAGATCACTTCTGTACTTTCTTCCTTCTTGGACAGTGGGTAAAAAGTAGATTTCCCTGGGAGCCACCCACACGAATCCAGTCCACAGCCTAAGGGTTTCCCTGGCCATGTGGTGAGCGAGGGCATCTGTGCTCAGCTTGGGACAAGCGGGAAGCTGGAGAAAGAGAACAGAGTTTTCCTGCCCCAGCTCTGTCAGCTGCTCCATCACCTGGTCTCTTGGTGCCTTAGAGCCACAGGACTCCAGGGACAACAGTGGGAGAACAGGCAGCTGTGAGCTGCGGGCGCTGGTGCTGGGCAGCCTGGCAGGTGGTCTGGATTGGCCAGGGGCCAAGGGCAGGGCCATCAGTGTGTGTGGAAGTGTGTTTTACGGGGAGGGGGGGCGGGGTGGGGGGGAGACACACCCTGGCTCCTGGTGCCCTCAGGTTACGAGGGTCTGGGCTGGATTCTTGAAGTGGAGAAAGGACTGGCAAAAAATCCCGGGCATGTGAGACCAAGAGGCTTAACTGAAAGTGGGCAGGTGCCATCCTTTCGAGTCACAAGGCCATGGGTGAGTCATTTACACTCTGAGCCTTGGGTTTCACAGCTGAAAAATGGGGACAATAATGCCTATCTTGAAGGCTGGTGAGAGAATTAAATAAGGGGATGAAGTGTTGAGTGTGGAGAACCCGCCAAAGAGCAGCTAACAGATGATGGCTGCGGTTATTGTTGTTGCTGCTATTAATAATAATAATAGCGGAAAGGCATCCGGATGGCAGGCTGGAGAGTCAGACTGTGCCGCCCTTTGGCTCCGGCCTCTCACCTCTCTCTTCCTTCCGTGTAAGAAGGAGGAGGGGGCGGCACCAGCTGAAACCTGAGGCCCCTCCTGCTCTGACAGCCTCAGGCCAGGAATAGATGGGGCTGGGGCCCTGGAGGAGTGTAATGACTCAACAGCTACAGAGGTTAAGCTTTCCCAGAAAAGAGTTTCCATTTGCATTCGATGAACTTAGGACCCAACAAAGGAAGGATTTCCTGGCTGGGAGGCCAGGGATGAAGGAGCCGGAGGAATCCTTGTAGCTGGCGAAGGCAGTGACTAACCAGGTGAATGACTAATTCAGACCCTGCTGACCTTCAACCAGTCAGGACGGCCCATAGCACACTGCAAGCTGGCGTCACGGAGCACATCGTGGCCGTGCCAACCCCTGCTGGCTCTGGGCTTCACAGCATATGGAGGCAGAGGAAATTACCAAGAGACTGGCAGGGAATGAGCACTGGGCTTAGTGTCAGAAGACCCAGCTTCTCACCCTCATTCCACTGCTCCCCGCTGGGTGATTTGGGGGAAGTCCCTGCCTCTCCCTGAGTCTCCAGGCCTCCAGCTAACATCTGCCCTGGAGCTTCTGTAAACTGTGAAGGTGGAGACACCGAAAGAGATGAAAGTGCATTGTTCCTGTGAGTGACTGGGAACTTGCCTCGGGGGACCCGTTTGGGTCCCCAAAGGAGTCAGGTGGACAGAAGCTGCTGCCCTTGAGTTTGGGGTCAGGATCGGTCAAATATTGGCCCCCTTTCATCCATCTCATCACAGCCCAGAGAAGTTTTCTTAGAGCAGAGTCCCTGAGGACAGCTTCCACACAAGTGGCATAGCCAGCGGGAGAGATGACAAAAAGCTAGGGATGGTTGAATGGGGCTGGGAGTGGGCAGTGCCAGTCTGGGGCCCCACAGAACCAGGGTGGTCCTTTGATGCTGTCTTTCCTCTTGCCCAGCACTTTATAAATAAATCATCACCAGAACGGCACTCTCTGCCTCTGTGCCCAGCTTTTAGCTTCTCTCTTGGTGAGGACCACAGGCACTTTGGGAACTGAGTGGGGGGTGGGGGGGAGGATGATGCTCTTTTATTCCTGCACACCTTATACCCGTCAATAGCATTCTCTGAATGCAGTGTGCCGTGGGGTGCTGTGCCAGCTCTGGGGGCAGGAGCTGGGAACCACAGGGTCCTGTCCACATGGAGGTTAATTATAGCATGACCAAAGAGACAAAGCACATCCTTAAAGTGTGAATAAGCATATGAAAGAGACTACGCTGTGTCACCAGGTTGTCCTGATGTAAGTCCCACCATTGTCCAGAGCAGCGGCCCTGGATGGTCTAGGATACTTTCAGGGGGAGGTGGGATTTGAGCAGTACCCAAGAGATTGGCTTAGATGAGAGAAATAGAAGAAAGTAAAAGTCATGCTGGACAGGCACTCTTAAGACATTCTTAGGGAACAGTTTGGTGACCTTGGAAGGCTGGTAAAAGTAAGAAGTGAAAAATGAAGTCAGAAATAGGCACCTTGGAGTCACATATCAAAGATCTTAAAATCTAGGATAAAGATCATGGACCAGTTTCTGTGGGCAGTGCCACAGAGGGCTGTTGTGAAGGGCATAGGGATGGTCAGTGATGTCCTGTGGGGGGAGACTTTTCCTGGCAGCATTGTCCAGGGCAGCTTGCCCATGGGGAGAATGAGGCTGGAGATAGGTGAAGAGGTCAGTTTGGAAGTTACTGTGGGCCTGGGGAGCAGGGGACTGAGAAAGAAAGGGGGCACATAGCTGTGGGGGTTGGTGTGTGGGAAAAGGGAGAGAGAGGAGGTTGAAGGCTCTTCAATTTGATTCTCCAGACAACTGAGCAGCTCCTGAAATCCTGGCAGGTGGCAGGGAGGTGGGGAGGAGGAGCAGACCCCAGACCAAACTTGGCCTGTCCTTTTCCAGGACAGCAGGCCCTCATCGGCAGGTCTGAGTGCACCCATCCTCCTCTAAACCCACAGGGTCAGTGGAAAATAAGGGTGCCCCCTCTTGGGCCTCATCTGCTTCTGGAAAACCCCATCCTTTCTCCTCCAAGAGAACAATCCAGAAACCTCATAGTCCCACTGTGGTTCCCAGAGAGCCGAGGCGCCTTGGGATGCAGTTCTGCCATGGCTAGACTGAAGGGACAGTGTCTAGTCCTGGTTTTCTACCCTCTCGACTCCTGTTGACTCCTAGGGAAACACTTTCCTTTTGTCATGAGCTATGCCAAGTAGCAGTGAGGCCTGGGAGCGCAGCCAATGAGAGGCTGGTCAGGGAGAGTAGAAGAAATGGGCGAGATGAAGGAAACAGCTTCTGGAGAATCTCAGTCAGCTTTGGGGGAAGGCAGGCTCCTAATCCCAGAACCCAAGCACGTTAGGACTGGGAGGGACTCCTGGAGATCATTTCAGTCAACCGCTACACCCTGTCTGGAGGTGAGCCCGAGTCCCAGGAGGGGACGGGACCTGGCCAAGGTCATCCAGCAGAAGTGCTGGAGCTGGGCTAGGCTCCTACTCTTAGGAGCAGGAAGGTGTTTACTCTTGTCTGGACACTTTCTAGTAGATCACTGGGGCCTCCCCAGAGTCCTTTCCTAGAGATTCAATCGTGCACTTTGTGTATGTGAGCTCCTGTGCCCAGGTTGTGAGAGCCAGTGGCCGCCCACACTGTGGTCTTCCCTGGCTGGTAGAAAGAACTTGGGCCATTCTTAGGAGATGACTGTTTTCCTGGGACAGCAGAGAAGAATGTGGACGGGGCTGGATCTGACTTCCAGCATCAACTCTGCTGTCCTAAGAAAATTAAAGGTGCTTACTGGCAATGCCCAAATGCCTGGAGTTCAACACACACACACACCACCACCACCACCACCACCACCAGCGTACCAGGTGGCACCCATAGCTGCAGTTATAGGTGTTTCAGGAACCCAACAGAGTGCCCTGGAGTCACTTGTCTCCTGGAGCCCAGCTTGTGAGGTGAGCAAGCCCCTCTGCAGGGACACGGTGTCTTCTTGCGCTCCCCGCCCCTCACACACTGTGTTCCAGGGCCTGGAGCCCGGCCACACCCCTTCTCCTCGAACCTCGAACCTCCTAAGGTCCTTCCTGCCCCTCTCACACACTTCAGAGTCCTCTGGGGCCCTCGCACAGTCTGGTAGGGACAAGTTAGGGCAGGCTAAAGAGTCAGGTCCAGAGCCAGGAACTGAAGCCTCCACCTCCCCAGCCCTCACCGATTCCTGTCCCCGCGAGGCAGACTCGCCAGGCTGAACTTGGGTTCTGGGGGCTTGGGGTTCGGCGCCTAGACCCTCTCGGCGGAACCCCCAGTCCCAGCGGCTTCAGGCTACTCCGGGACCCGACGCTCAGTCTCCGGGTTGCCGCCCCCCGCCAGGCGAATAGTTACCGATGGTGGTGATGACTGTGATGGCGAAGTAGAAGGAGCCGGCGAAGCGCCACTGCACGCCGGCCTTGTGCGGCTTGAGGCGCAGCACCACCCGCTCGAGCTCCTCGTAGCCGCCCTGGCTGAGGTTGTAGCGCGCCCGCAGCTCCTCCTGCCGCAGCTCCAGCCGCTGTCGCTCGATCATCTCCGGCTCCGACTCCAGCGCGTCGAAGACCGCGGCGCCCACCAGCAGGTAGGTGAAGGTGCACACGATGAGCGCCAGCGT